TTGTCAGGGAAAGCTCTGCAGAGCTTTTTTTTCCCAGAAAACTAGAGTTCTTCCTTTTTTCTCTTTTAGGAAAAGGAGAAATTGAAGCCATAGTTGTACCTGTGTGTCTGGCATTCCTATTAACCATCCTTCTGGGAGTATTGTTTTGCTTTAACAAACGGGACTTGTAAGTAAACGTAGCATGTATTTCTATTACATTTTACTATATCTGAAAATTACTATAATGTTTCACTGCAATGTATGTCTCATGATCCTGATTCTCATCTCTCACTGATTTATATCTGTGAGTAACTCCTTAAGTGAATCTATTAAAGAGGTTTGGGAGAAGGACGGAAATTGGGTTCATGTTCCTCTTAAAGATCTGGAGGCTTTTTTGTAACAAAATAATTCCAAGAGCTCTTTTTAAAAAGTGTGTTCAAACATAATTAAATGTTTTAATAAAAACATTTAGGAGTCCTGTGGAACCTTAAGACTAAGGGCACGAAATAACTAAATTGGACTTAACTCCCGATTTTACAAAATTGAAATAGCGTGTCCCCAAGTCTCAAAATTTGTCCAAGACAGGCTCCATTAATGTGGATGCGCTATTTCGACTTAGAGCCTCATGAAGCCTAAGGGAAGTAATTCATTCAAATTACTGTAGAGAGTAGTTATTTCAAAATAGCAGCACCTCAGCATCCATACTACCGTTATTTCAAAATATCTATTTTGAAATTAGCATTATTCCCTGAGGAAAAGCAGTATAGATTTTTAAATAAGTGGCTCCTTATTTCAAAATAACGGACTTGGTAGTGTGGACGTTTCACTTATAAATTCGTCCTAAGTGGGGAAAGGGGCATTTCAAAATAAAACCCTAGTGTAGACCAAGGCTAACATTTATTTGGGCATCAGCTTTGATGGATAAAACCCACTTTGTCAGATTTATGCATCTGACAAAGTGGTTTTTACCCATGAAAGCTTATGCCCAAATAAATTGGTTAATCTTTATGGTGCCATAGGACTCCTTAGCATTTTTGCAGATATAGAGTAATACAGCTACCCTTTTGAGACTTGAATGTTTTTAGGAAATTCTTGCTTTTCCTTGCTGGTTTTTGGTTTTCAGTACAAACTGAACATTTTGATCATTTCTGTTTTATATAGTTAATACACCATTAAGGAATTCTTGCACTTCATCTAAAATCTATTTTTCATAGACTGTGTGGGTATGTCTACACAGCAAAGTTATTTCGAAATAACAACATTTCAAAATATGTAAACCTCATTCTTCGAGGAATAGCACCTATTTCGGAATAGCTATTTTGGAATAGGTGTTGTGTAGACAGTGAATAGGGTCTATTTTGAAATAGGAGCCTCCATCCCTTCCCAGGGTGCCGTGCTGGCCACTCTGGCACATACCAGGAAAACTCTTCTTCTCCCACCACCCCTCTTCCCCAGAGCTCTTAAAGGTCTAGAGCAGGGGTGGCCAACCCATTCTGGGCAAAGAACCAAGATAGCAGTGGATCCAGTATGAAGAGCCGGGGCAAAGTTGCTGGGGGGGAAAGAAAAAAAAAAAAAGACTCCCTCTTTTGCCCCTTTAAAGGGAGCCCCCAGCCGTGTTTGGTCAAGCAAAAAAAAAAAAAAAAACCCCAAAAAACCCTCTTT